CACACTTCACAATGGGCCTGAAGCACAAGGTGACCCTTTTATCCCCGTAGTGACAATTGAGAAATAAAGAGCCTGATTTTGGAAGAAGAAGAAAAAATCAATTGAGGTAAATTAATTAAATGAAAGCTCATGGAAGTGAAGATTAAGAATACAAACTAGATAGCCTAAACTCCAGATCTGATTTTAGAGAAATATCTTGTATGCCTCTCCCTAGATTCCTTTTCGTCACTTAGAAATATGTCAAGAACAGCCCTGTCATTGTCCTCAACAGGAAACAACCTCAGGTTGTTCTGGTACCTGGGATCGATTATTAAATCCCCGCAAGGTGAGAGTTGTACTGGTACTTTCTACTAGACTGAGTAATAAATTCTCAAGCTCTACACAAATGTTATGATGGAGTTCAAAATCAACCTTGTCATTAACAGCTAAGCACTGAACCCTTGTACCACTAGAAGAATTAACCAGGATCACGGGCATAAAGCATTAGGTAGGTTCACTGTAATGCTTAATGCAGAGACGACAACAGAAAATTCTAGCTCTTAGAGAGCGCTATCCTAGCCTCCACTCTTTCTTGGATCTGTGCATGTGTAAGTTTCTTAGCCTAACCGAGTGTCAGCTTCCTCTCCTCTTCAATGGACATGATAACAATAACAATAATAGAGCCTTTTCAAAATGTTGTGAGGATTATGATAGTAGCGATAAAGAGCTTAACAATCATTATCTCATTCCCCGTTACCATAACCGTCCATCGCATCATTTTCACAAATGCCCCAATGATAGCTTTAGTCTTTGACTCCAAAATCATTGGTGGAAACATCTGAAAATGTAAATGTGCAAATACAGGGAAGCTTGGAAAGCAACCAATTGGGGGAAAAGCCTAGGATTTTCTTACATTATGTTTATCATGTGTTCCAACAAGAATTTGCTTTTCTTTGATTTTTCATTGAGCATAAAATATAAAGACACACTTTGATGTAGTAGAGTTTTAAAAATAGAATTATGACAGAATCTACAAAGATCGAACTTACGGAAAGCAATTATTCCAAAATATCCCACTCCACAGCTGATGGTGTTTTTCTGGCTAATGCAACATATGTGGTACCTCATCCAAACTGAGAAGACAGGATCATCACAGTCAACCCATGGCTAGAAACGTTGTGACAGAAACTAGGTTATGAAGTGTTATAAAAAAAAAAAAAGGGTGGACACAAAAAGTGAAGAATAATCTTCGGCCTTGAAAGGTGCAGATGAACTAGTAAGCTATTAACTTGGCTCCTCTTTCAAATCATGAATCAACTTTTATGGGAAATATTCACTGTCACCAAACTGTTTATCAGGGATTCCTAATTCTGTCATTTTACAGGCCTAGTTCACTAAAATTTTCAAAAGACTATTTAATATCTTCATTGTTCAATTACAGTGGAGTATAAAAATAACCCGAAAGTGTAGCTTGTTTCTCTCGTGATGTAGAATAAACTTTTCAAAAAGATGGACTTCTAAGGTGTACTGTGTTTAGCCAGCTGACAAACAAGCCAGACTGGGACTATAATCAGTAATGGAAAGAAAACAAATTAAGTACTTGTAATTGAAGCTTGAGGAATGAAGAATTCACACTTTCTTAGAGCTATTATTTCAGACAGTCTGGTGTCAGAATTAAAAGCCAACCATTGCATCTGTTTATATTGCCAAGGATTTTCACAGTAAGAAGGGCTAGGAAACACATATTTTTTAATTAGGGTCCAAATTCCAAAGAATACCAAAAAAAATAGCATGTCAAAAATATATGCTCTTGTGATTTTTTATTGTCCAATGTCTAAACAAAGACAAAAAAAGTTATATCTTCACAAACACAAGTGAATAAGATTTTTTAAAAATGTTTTTAAGTAATTCTGTTGCTTTGGCCACAGTCTCTCTCTCTCTCTCTTTTTAATTTTTTTTGGTTGTTATCTTGCTTGCTTCTGGCTCAGCTACTGCTTTTCTTTCCCAGGACGATATAATACAGGAAAAGCCGATTTGGGAATGCCTTTTTCATACCACAGGTCTGCCCTGATGTCTCAATTAAAACCTGAAAAATGAAACTCATTGCTATCAAGTGCACTCCGACTCAGAGCACGCCCATAGGATAGAACTGCTCCTGGCGGTAGCTGAGAATGGAAGTCTACGGGAGCAGAGAAGCGACAGCCTTATCTGGCTCCAGAGGAATAGTGGGTTGCTTTGAACTGCCCATCTTGCAGTTAGCAGCCAGTGCCTCACCCACTGCACCTTCAAGCATGTCTCAGTTCACAGCTCAAACTCACCGCCGTCGTGTCCACTCACCCTATAGGACACAGGAGAACTGCCCCTGTGGGTGTCCGTGGCTATAGAAGCACACAGCCTCATGTTTGTCCCAGGAAGCCACGGGTGGTTTGGATCTGCTGACCAGGAGATGAGCCGCCCAACTACTCCACCAGGACTTCTATGTATCAATTACCAAGCTTAACAAATGAATTGGAATGGCCATCAAAAATGACCATTTTACCCTTTAAGAGATATCTCCTATTTAAAAATTTGAGTTAACTTTTTTGCTTTGAATTAAATGAATGGTCTCTTTACAATCAACGCTGATATTCAAAACATTTTAATACAATATTCAAATTTATCATTCACTTTTTTAAACCTCTGATAATGGAATTAGAGAGCCCTTAGTGGCATAGCAATTGCCAACTGGGCTGTTAACTGCAAGTTTGGCAGTTCAAAACCACTAGCTGCTCTAGGGGAGAAAGACAGGGGCTTTCGACTTCCACAAAGTTACAGTTGAAGAAATGCATAGGGCAGTTCTACCCTGTTCTACAGGTGCGCTATGAGTTTGAGTCCATTCGATGGAAGGGAGGTTTTTTTCAATGTTAGTGGAGTTAGGGGGGTTGTCATTTAGTTGTTTTTGCAATTTTAGAAATCGCTCATTTGGGCGTGAGAAATGAAAACAAAAAAAATTAGTAATTTGTAACCAGATCTGAACAAATTTCACCCCACATTCATTTATGCAATAAACATAGATAAATCATTTGCTATCTGCCAGACACTGCACTTGGGAATGGCCTCATAAGACAGCGTGACATGATGTCTAAGAGGAGAAATTCGAGGTTACGTATCTAATGGGGAAAGGAGTGCTAAAATAAATCTGAGAGATGACCCATTCTTGGGCCTTTTGCTTCACAGAGAAGGAAACTGAGAAGATTTAGAAAAGTCACACAGTTACAGGTCCCTTTGGTGCAAAGAATAGGACTAAAATCTGTGTCTACAAATCTATCCCTTATTCTTTCCCTTTCCTTGAAAAGTGTTTGGTTTGCTTTTCCCAAAAGACAATAACGATGGACTAACCAGACTACAAACTTCAAAACGTTGACTAGAGTTAGAAATGTGCTCTGACAATGGCGAACCAAGAGACCAGGCAATCTAAGTACATGGTGTCCTGGACGGTGGTGAGAGAGGGTTGATCAGTCAACCTCTAGCTACATCCAGGCCCTCCTTCACTACACCTTGGACAATAATATAACTCTGAAAATCATTTGGACTTTAAAATATATATTTTACATCAGCCTAACAAGGGTAAATTCCATGAGATCAGTTCATTGAGTATGTACTCAACAAATATATCCTCCATCTCCTTTTCTGTCACAAATTGATAGGATTTATGGAGGACCAGTTCAACATTTCCATTCTTTTGTTCCTTAACAGTAATTTTAGTATAAGTTCGAGCTTCAGTTTTTAATCCTGTAAGGTTTATCTCTTTTATTTTTGACAAAACTTCACCAAATAGAACACTTCTACTTTGCAAATATTGTGAGAATAAAGCTTTATGATCTCAGAAGTCCACAGGATCCTGTTGGGTCTCACGGGGTCGCAATGAGCTAAAATGAACTCCATGCCAGTGAGTTTTGAGTGAGTGGAAGGGAAGAAATAGATTTAGAGAATTTCTTTAATATAACTCCTTTAACAAGAAATGAGAAGAAAGTGCAATCAGAAAAATATTTGTAATTAATTAAACCTGCTATATAATTTGTGAGTCTCTTTCCATTCGCAAAAAAAAAAAACAACAACAAACAAACAAATCAACAAAACCTACTGCGGTCAAGTTCATAGAACAACATAGAACTGCCCCATAGGGTTTCCACCACTGTGATCTTAATGGAAGCGGATGGCCTCTTCCTCCCATGCTCATGGAGCACCTGGGGAACTTGAACTGCTAACCTTTTGGTGAGCAGCCACATGCTTTAACTCCCCTTTTCATTATTGGTCATCGAAATTTAACTCTCATAGGCAAGGGGATTTTTAGACTCCTATATCCAGTACACTCAAGAGTAGACAGGCTTGATGGGGTGACTAAATCCAGACCCCCAAATAATAAATTCAGCACCTTACTTTTACATTCTTTTCTTAACTGTCATTGGCCCCATGTTCTGGCTTTATTCTTAGAAAGACTCCTTATTCCTGGCAGGAAAAATGACCTCTCTCAGCTCAAGTTCACATCGTTTTTACATCTCGGCAGAAATAGTCCCTGTTGAGTGAATTCTAACTCACGGGGACCCCATGTGTGTCAGAGTGGAACTGGGTGCCATTGACTTTCAATGACTGGTTTTTCAGGTATTTATATTTAGGCCTGTCTTCAGAGACACTTCTAGTTGGATTTGAGCCCCAATCTTTTAGTTAGTAGCCAAATGTGTTAATCAATTCCACTACACTGGGAGTCCATACACCTTGCTAGAGGAAGAGAGAAATCCTCATTCTTGCATGTTAACACCACGCTGCAGGCAAAACTCAGATTTGGAACTAACTAATTCTAACAACTACCCCCAGAGCAATCCGCGGTGGCTACAAAATGGAAGATCTGTGTGTGGAGCCTGGCAAAATGGGGTTCTTTGGGGAGGGAAATGGAGAGGGAGGGATCCTGGACAAAGAAAAATATAAAATGATTTTTTTTTTAAAAGATACATGCTTAACCAACTCTCTTTTCCTTTGGTTAGGATTATCCAGCTCAATTCGAAATCCTCTTGGAGATCCTGGTAAGTTCAGCCCCTTTTTTATGATGGCTTCCTCAACATTAGGTGATGGCATGTTGAACCCGACATAAGGCAGGAACTCCATCTTTGTCTAGGCCCGCAACAGGACTGCAATAGTACTGAAATATCAAATCAATACTGACATTCTTCAAGGTACATTGAGACTTTCTTTTCTTCTTTCTATTTAACTTTAATGGCATCTGTAATATATTTGTACACATGTTAGGTAATGAAAAATTTTAAATCATTTATCATTTATGCAATGATGAGCTTAGTATCTATAATATAATAAGACATACATTTAGGTCGATATAAGTACAAAAATCTCAGTCTCTGGTCTCAAAGAATTGGGGCTAAAGAGTAAGAGTAAGTAATATGAAAGATAGTCTGATTCATGAGTTAGGATAGAGGACTCTATGTTTAACTTAAAATATGAGTTTCATTTTGGAGAATAGGTAGAGATTTTGCTATAAGGAATAGGAAAAGCATTCCCATAAAACAAGCCAAGGCAGAAATTCTATATGTGTTTTACATTTGGTTAAAATTCTGTAAGTATGGCTGGGAAGGGAAATTAACATAGTAGCTTTTAAATATTCTTAATAAAATTTTCCTAAATATATCATAGTACATTTGTCCTAAGGCATCCTATGCAGCAATTTTATAGTGTTAAGCAGTGTTATAGGTGCAATTCTAAGACATTTTTTAACGCCGTTATTGTTACATGCCATTGAGTGGGTCTGACGTGTAGTGACACTATGTACAACAGAATGCAATATTGCCCCACCTTGTACTGGTCTCACAATCATTGCTGTGTTTGAACTCACATTGTCGTCATTTTGTCAATCCAAAGGGTCTTCAATGAGGCTATTCCTCTTTTTCTCACTGGCCTTCTACTTTACCAAGCATGATGATATTTTCCCTGGACTGATTCCTTCTGTTAACATGTTCAAAGTGCATGAAACAAAGTCTTACCATAATCCCTTCTAAGGAGCACACTGGTGGCACTTCCAAAACAGATTTATGCATTCTTCTGGTCTTCCCTGGTACATTCAATATTCGTCTCTGACACTATGTTTTAAAGGCATTGAATGTCTTTGGTGTTCCTTTTCCACTGCTTAGCTTTTGCTTGCATATGACATTGTTGAATAAGGGGTGAACCCAATTTCACATTAATATTCATTGAACACCTAGAATAAATTTTAAAAGAGCCCAGTGATTCAAGGTTCCACTGCTAATTGAACAATTGTTGGTTCAAACCCACCAGCTTCCCTGCAGGAGAAAGGGGTGGCAGTCTGCTTCCCTGGAGGTAACAGCTTTGGGAAACCTACTGGGTAGTTCTACTCTGTCCTACAGGGTTGTTGTGAGTTGGCATAGAAATGACAGCAACCATTTGCTTTATAGCATAATAAATACAGCATGACTTCTCTTATATTACTTAAAAACCATATGTGCATTTGTTCAAAAATATGCGGAAAAGGTCTGGGAAAATTTACCCCAAACAAATAATAGTCGAGAGTAGTTAGAATGGTGTAGGTCGTACTGAGGGGAGACTAGTGAGCATACACTTTTACACTTTTGTATTACTTGAGCTTTTTTCCACCCCACAATGGAAATGTCTTTATTGTTTGCTTAATAAAGAAATATTTACATAAAAAAGAAAGTTTTTAAATGAAAATAGGGGTGAGGTTATTGGAAGGATAAAGAATACGGACTTAAAATTAATATTATTATTGTTTATGATTGTCAATGAGGCAGGTGCCTAATCTATTGAGCTACGTATTATGAAGAATAACACTTTTCAGATGAGATTATCTTAGAGTTAATAAAAAGGCAGGCAGAGCTGCCTGGATGTTTATGTGTGTTGCTGTTGATGTTGATTCTTAGCGACCCTAGAAGATAGAGTAAAGCTGCAACCTGTATGTGGGCAGACTGCCACGTGTTTCCCTCCAGCTTGAATTGTTGACCTTTTGATGAACAGTGAAAGGGTTTGGGGATGGGGTGGGGGTAGTTATTCTTTTACTCTAAGGAATTTAAGGTATCAAAGTGATGTCTTTAGGCAAGTGGTGACTGAGAGGTTGAGTGTGGAGAGCCTGAGGGGCTGAATCTTCTCCCAGTTTGGTGGTGACAGCCATACCCATGAAGGAGCTACTTGAAGAAATTGGGTCTAAAATCAATCATTGGGGCATAAATGGAACTGCAAGAGAAAACAAGGAAAGAGCTCAATTTAATGCCCTGGGTTGTATCATCCTGTAAGAGAAAGGGAATGATGCATTCACTCATTCTTTCACAAGTAAATATTTTCTGAGCACACAGTATCAAGCACTGTGCCGATTTTGAAGGCAGAATAAAGAAAAAGTGGCATGATCACTGTCCATGGGGAGTTTCCATCTACTGGAATGTTACAAACGGCTAAGATTCACTGAGCAATTGTAGTCTTTGCAAATTGCATTTCGCTATCACATCAATTTTGATATGGCCCCTGTTATCTTCTTGGTATGGATAAAGAAAGAAGCCTTAGTGAGGTCATAGGAAGTGTAAGGCACCTGTTTGAATTCTAGCTTTGTCTGTCACCCAAACCCTTAAACATTGCGCTACAATAACTAAAACGTGACCAGCACAGAGCCCGGAGAAGAAACACTGGACTGTGCCAAAACCACCTGCTCCCCACCCTAGGACTTTACAATTTAGGAGAGGAGGACAAAGCCATGCAGCTGACTAATCATGTATGACAGAATAGTGGAACAGAGGAAAGACCATTCATGTACTCAGCCAGTCAACAAAGATGTATTAAGTGTCTAGCATGTTTTCTCACATGGGCTTTGGAAGTTCAGTCTCAGTTGAGTGGGACCGAAGCCAACTGTGAGGGAGTAAAGCATGAGTGGATAATGCAGTGCCAGGTGTTAAGGACTCTTCAGAGGGATTTGCTTCTGGGAAAACTAGTATCAGAATGTTAGACTCGGGTACAACTAAGCTTGCATACAGGAGGAGAGTGTTGGGAGGATGAGGTTGAAAATACGAAAGAAAGGGGTGTAATGTTTGAAGAAAAAGCAAGGTGTATCAAAAGAAGCACGGCTCTAAACCACTAGTGCACAGGATGATGATTAAGAGGAAGAAACGTCTGTGATAGGGGATGGAAAGACACATGTAGAAACTGAGAACTTTCACAGTAAGATGACATCATGGGCAAATACCAGTAGAATCCTCAACTCGGCCTCCACATTAGAGTCATCTGAGTAGTTATTAAAATCGTGATGCCCTACCTGCGCTCCAGATCCACAAAAACAGTAAAATTTGGGACTTCTTCAGGCAAAGGGATTCCACATGCAGGCTTAAAAGAGGAATTGGCAAGAGTGTAGACAAGATCTCACCAGGTGGAAAGAATTTGAGCAAAATCTAAAGCAACAAGCCAGAAAGCCCAGGGCCTAATAAAGATGTTTGCCTGAATCAAAGCAAGCAAGGAAGAAACCAGGGAGGAAATAGAAAAGCTGTCTATGATCAGATCTCAAAGGATCTCTAAAACTCATACTTGCCACAAATTAGATACAAGAACTTCCTCTTTTTCGCTGTCCCCCTACTCTACCCAGCACAATGTTCTTTTCCAGGCACTGGCCTCCATAGCATGTCCAAAGTATGGGAAGCAAAGCTTCGCCATCATTGATTAACCAATGATGTCTTGTCAGTACTGCTAACTTTTGTCCCTATCTCCACTAGAGTCCCTGGAACATAATAAATGTTCAGGAAACATTTGAGGAATGAATACATTTGCAGCACACTCTCTCATTTTTCAAGTCTCTAGAATACTTAGCAAAAGAGAAAGTGACTCATTTCCAATCACAAATCATTCATTGTAAGTACTTTTCAATACCCTACTCATAGCGACTCTTGGTCTGAAATGGCTTCATTGGACATGACTCCAATCTCTTTACTCATCTAATTAAAATCACTTGCTAACTAGTATTTGAATAACAAAACTGAAAATACTGACTCACTAGTTAAAATGAAGGCCTCACACTTACTTGGTTCGCATCCTTTAAACAATAATAATTCCATAGACACCAACAAATTAATGTTGTTGGCAGAGAAAAGCGAAGAGACTGGCACCATATGCAGCTGCAGTTAAGCCATTTATGTACGACAGAACAACATTTCCCGGCCTACACCATCCGCACATCTGTTGTGTTCAAGCCCGGCTTTGCAGTCGCTGTGCTGCCTGTCTCACCCTTTCTGCTGCCCCTTTTCTAGGGACTGATCTCTCCGGATAGCATGTCCGAATTACATGATAAAAAGTACGTCTGTCCTTTCTTCTAAGTAGCCTTCTAGCTCTATGTCTGCCAAGACCGACAAGTTCATTGTTCTATCAGTTAATGGTCATTTAATAGTCTTCACCAGCACCATAATTCAAATGCATTGATTCTTCTTCTGTCTTTCCTTACTCTGTGCCCTACTTGCACATGTAGATGTAGCGATGGGAAGTAAACTTGGCTTGTTTCAGGCACACTTTAAAGAGGCCTTGTGCAGCAGATTTACTCCGTGCAACGCATCTTTTGATCTCTTCATGGCTTGCTCCCATGAGCATTGACTGTGAACCCAAGTAAGAAAAATCCTTGACAAGTTCAATCATTCCTCCATTTATCATCATGTTACCTATTGGTCCAGGTGTGAGGACTTGGGTTTTCTTCACACGTAATTGCAATCCACATTCAGGGCTGCAGCCCTTGATCTTCATCGGCAAGTGCTTCAAATCTGCCTCACCTTCAGCAAGCAAGGTTGTGTCTGAACTTTGCAGGTTGTTAATAAGTCTTCCTCTCATCCTGATGCTGTATTCTGGATATAATCCAGCTTCTCTGATTATTCGCTCAACATACAGATTGAATAAGTATGGCGGGAAGATACAACCCTGACACACTCCCTCCCTGATTTTAAAACGTGTCCGATTCCCTTATTCGGTTTGCACACCTGACTTTTGGTCCATGTACAGCTTCTGCATGAGCGCAGTGACACAC